AGAAGTTCACAAGGAAGAACTTCGCAAGGAGGTGATTCACAGTCAGTCCCCATCTCTGCGTCTGCTCTGTCTTCTGAGGGCTCTTAAGATTCGAGCAGTGGTTCTTATACTCAGGTAAGTAAGTGGGCAGCAGCTCCTTCTGGAGGGCTTCTTAGAGCAGACTTCTAAACCCCAGCCCCGGAGCTTCTGCTTCCGTTGTTCTGGACAGGAGCCCAAGAATTCACATTTCTAACAAGTTCCCGGGAGGTGCTGAGGCTATGAGTCTGGGGCCACATGTGAGAATCACTGGACTAGAGAATGTCACATCCATGTGCTGGAAGAAATACTCCACTCTCTCCCCGTTCCTGCCTCCCTGCCCACTGCAAATGCAACGCACAGGTTCCTGGATGAATCCTATTCTAACTCAACTATAGAGTGGAGGGATTTTAGAGGCGGCTCATCGCTGTACTGAGCCACTTTTGAGTGACAGTGGAGGGGATGGTGGGACTCGGGGCATGGTGGGTGGGCAGGCAGGGCGGTGAGGAGAGGAAGCTGGTTAGGGAGGCCTGCTTTGACTCACCTGGAGGTGCTGCGGGTGGGGCGGGGGGGGCCTGCAGCGGGTCAACCGCCATGGAGCAGGGCCATAGAGAGCACCAAAGAATGGTAGTGGAGAAAGAAGGGAGCCCAAGGGAGGGAATATGGAGGGCAGGGGTTGGTCTAGGGGAAGATGGATGAAGGATCAGGTTTGAAGTTTAAGCCAAGACAAGCTAGATACAGTGATTAACCAGGATGTCCTGTGGTGGGTTTTTTTAAGTTTTTTTCCCCTCCCAAATTAATTAGAGTTGATTCAGTAAAGTGCCCTTTCCCCTAAGTGGCAATGAAACAGAGAGAGTACTGAAGTGCCCCTAGAGAGAGAAGGAAAGGGAGAGACAGACCACTGTCCCAGGGCATGGGTTGAAGAAGAGAAACTCCCCCACCCCTTGGGTGGGTAGAGAGTGGTCCCCCATGATTCTCCCCCACGCCTCTCCCACCTGGCATTGCACAGATGCTGGCTGGGCACTGTCACATGGGAGGCCCTAGGCTGACTCCAGTTCCCCTGCCCAGTCCCCCTTCTGTCCCATTTTAACGCTCTCTCTGTGTCCTCACCTCCCCTTCCCCAGCAGCTCTTTCTTCCCCGTTAGCTTCTCCTCTCTCCGCAGCTCCCCCAACAGCAACCACAGAAGGCAGGTGTTGTATATATCACCATCCTGGTGGCCCACTGGCGAGGGGCACAAGGCTGGCCAGGGTCAGGGATGACAGAGGGAATATGATCATTATTACGAGATTGTGACAGCAAGGCTGTCAGACTCGCTTTTGAATTGCCTGTAAGGTGGAAACTCCAAGGAGGCTGGTCTTTTGTGCAGCTGGAGAAAGTCACCGAACTGGGCACACCTGTCCCGCTATAAACTCACAATGTCTTAAGTTCAGTTGTGCCCTCTCTGCCTCCTAATAGTCTCTAATTCACCTCCTGGTGCACTACCAGGTTTCCTCTGGTTGTTGAAGCTCCCCTGCTCTCCAAGCCCTGCCTTACTGCCATCTACCCTCCTTTTCCTTCTAAGTAAGGAGATCCAGGGATTCTGGTCAATGCCCTCCATTTGTTCCCCCTCCTCAACACAACTCTCTCTGCCCACGTCTGCATATCCACCCTGTAGCGAGGGGCAGCAAAAAGAGCATTTGGATTCAGACAAAACTGATCCTCAGTTATCGTTTTTAGATAATATGCCTTTGGCTCTTGGCTTGGTCTGCTTGGCACATCCATACTCCTTCTTCTGGTAACAGACCCATCCACCCTGCACTGAGGAGTATGTGTGTGAATCAGCTGGCCCAACCAGCTACCCCATCATGACAACAGTGATTGGCCCAGGGAAGGGCACGTGATTGGAGATGGACCAGTTAGAGCCCTTCCCTGTTATTTTTCCATCTTGAGCTAGTGGGAAAGAGTTTTTTCCTCTGTGCTTTTGAGGCTGTAAGAATACAAGCTAAGGGCTGCCTATGTGCATGTTCCCTGATGCCTAGAGAAAGCCCACATTTAAGATAAGAGAAAGAAATCAGCACCCAGAAGGATAAAGAAAGGGATGATAGTATTTGAGTTCCTGGATCCAGCTGTCCCTGAGGCAAGATCTACCTTTGCCCATTGTAGTTCTGGTTGGTTTCTGGCATTTGCAATTGAAAGTGCTCCAATGCATGTGACACTCACTGTCTCCTCTCATGTGGTGGCTGTGAGATTACAGAAGATCTTCCATATCCAGTGCTTGGGGAATGCTCAATCCATTGTAGCTGTTAATATTGCTGTTGGTCTCTGTCCACCATGTCCTCGGTCAGTGCCTCACCAGTCTCCTGTTCTCCCTGGTTGGAAATCCCGGAACCATAATCCTTTTCTTCATTCTAATGTTGTCCAGCCCAGGCTCAGTCCATCTGTCCTGTACAATCTCAGATGCTTCCTTCTTCATCCTACCTGCCCCTGCCCTAGCCCATACCACTCATTCATGCATTCAACAAACCTTAACTGAGGATGTACCATACGCCAGGCAAGAGTGCTGTCAGTGAGCAAGACAGACATCGTCCCCTGACACTCTTTCCTCTGCCCTAGCCTTCCTTGAGTACCTGTCAGACTCACTGTCCTCAAACCCTACTTCATGTTACTCTTCTTGGCTTCCTGTTTCCTACCTCATCAAATCTCAGTGTTTCTACTTGGCCTTCAGAAGTCCTCTACCACCTGCCTCCAAATCACCATCATCATCATCATCATCATCATCATCACCATCATCACCATCACCACCACCCTGTGAATAGCAGTAGTAGAAGCAGCTGCCATTTGTGATATTCTTATTGTGGGCCAGAAGCTGTGCTAATCACTTTAGCTCCTTAAAGGCAGTAGCTCATTTAAAGTCTCACAACCTGGGGTGAAATTCAACATATTTAGTGGCTGATGCAGCACAGGTGCCAACAACCAGGGAGGACCGCCGGGCCAGGCGCACCAGCTCTGTTCACAGCCATCCTGAGAGGCGGACGCTGTGATCCTCGGTTTACCAATGCGTAAGCTGAGACTCAGAAGGGGGAAGGGTCTTACCCAGGGTCACCCAGCTGAGAAACAGCAGCGCCAGGCTGCAAACCCTGCAGGAGGCCCTAACTCCCCCAGGGCCTGTACCCCAACCCAGAAGGCCTCCACAAATGCCCACTGCACAGCCCTTTCTCTGATGACATCAAGTCCTTCCCTGCAGTTTAAACAGGCCTCACTCCAGCTCACCTCATCCATTCGCTCCTACAGTCATTGATTGGGACTCACACTTTGAGACATGGCCTGTGCAAGAGGAGGGGCCCTCCATGGGGGCAGGACTGTCATTTCTGCTCACAGTGCTATTTTCAGCACTTGGTACGTTACCTAGCACATAATTGGTGCTTGGCAAATATTTGTTGAATGAAGAAATCAATGCCAGGATGAACACCATCCGGAGGGGATATCGAGGTGCTGGAAACAATCGAAGGCCCTGGAGCCACGGAGCAGTGTGGGCTGCGATGTTGTTTGTGGTGTTGGTTAATGTTTAAAGCTCATCTAAGCCACCGGGCCAGGCCTGAATTTCCACATGACACTCAGAGATTCTTTATTCCCCACAGGAAAGCAAACTTGGGAGTTCAGGGAACTCTGGGTTCAAATCTCAGTTTGTGACCTTGAGCATTTAACCCTTCTGAGCCTCAGTTTCCTTCTCTGCCAAGGAGCAATATAAGAATGGCCTTGCAGGGTTCTAAGGGTTAGATGGATAACATTATATACTAGCACTCACTCAAGGTTACCTCTCCTGCGCAAAGATGTTTAAGACCCACGTAGATTTATGAAACCAGAAGGAACCTCAAAAGACAAGAGATAACATGAAACATCAAAGGACAGTCCAGAAGGGGCCCTGTAGAGGGGGAGGTGCGGGCCCCAGGGCAGGCTCCCAGCTGAGCAGGGGTGGGGTGAGTGGCTACCACCTGGCCCCGGGGCTGCTGATGTGCACATGTGAGCCTCTGGTCCTTTAAATAGCGGCTGCCAAGCGCAAGGGGGATTCTAGGCAGCAGGACTGGGCTTTCCCATCCATCTCTCTGTGCCAGTTCTCATCTGGCCTCGGGGTGATGGTGGGAATGAGAGGGGTGGGGAGAAGCATGGCTTCCCCGCCACCTCCACGCCACGATCCCCACGGTCCTAAAAGAGGATGTCCCTAAGCTTAGCAGAAACAAGTTTGAATTTGTTTGAATTTCCAGCGAGCTTTTCTATAAAACTAGCAAACCAAAGAAGAGGAGCTTAGCAACAGGTTACTGCCTACTCAGATTCCAGTCCCCAGGCTCCCCAGGCCGGCACTTGTAGCTGGTTCCCAAACCCTGCCTGGCCTCTCTCCTCCAAGACCCTCTGCAAAGTCCATACCCCACTTAGGAGTCACCCCTGGATTCCTCATTGAACCCCCAACCATCCCCCAAGACACTGGGTGGCAGGAAGAAAGCAGGGTTTGGGGGACCCTAGCCCTGTTCACAGCAACCTATGTGACCTTGAGCAAGTTGTGTCACATCTGGACCTCAGTTTCTTCATTGAAAAGTGGGCATGACACCTCGGTGGGTAGGTGGGAGGTGGGGACTTGCTGCTGTACCTGTGGGAGCCCTAGCAGGGTGCCAGACAGAAGGGGGCTCAGCCAGTGTTAACCCTCTCCCTCCCGGCTCCCGGGACTGCTGATGCTCTGCATTCATGGCCTTACCACCCTACTTCCCCTTCCAACTTCCTTCTCTATTTCTCTCCTCTTCCCAGTCCTCCAAGAATTGAAAGCCACTGGATTTGAGCAGCATACTCATCCCCACAGTCTGGGACAGCAGGCAGGGCAGGGGCGAGGGGCAGCGTTACAGGGGCGGCCCAGGGAAGCGGGAACAGAGTCCACTTCTCCTGCCCACCCTCCTCGCCCTCCCCTGACCTCCCGCCCAGGCTGCCGCGGATCGGGACCCCGGGGCACCGCCCTTACCAGAGAAGATCCTGCCCTCCCTGGTGAGGAGGGCGGCCCCTACGGGGAAGCGACTGTAGGGGCAGTAGGCGGACTTCTTGGCCTCCCGGCAGGAAAGCAGCAGCCGCTGGAGGTGCTCGAGCTCCAGGGCGGGGGTGCAACGCTCCTGGGCCATGTCGGTCCCCTGGGGCCAGCAGAGGAGCGGAAGGGGACCATCCAGTGTGGGCTGGGCCCCATCGCGACAACAGCTCCTCCCCCGGGGTGTGTCCCGGCCGACAGGCTCCCAGGTGCGAGCCTCTGGGGATGCTGGGAGGGGCCAGGGCAGGGAGAGGAGCTCCCCTTGATTTGGGGTCAAAGGATATAGTGTGTGTCCCAGTGTGGGAGGATGCCACTGTGTCCATGTGTGCTTCACACTTTCCCTTGGGGACCACTCTTAACTGCTGACACACTGATGGGTGAGAGGGGATGGGTGGCACTGTGTAGTAGGTGACTGTGGCCATACATGCTGCAGGGAAGAGGCTGCTGGGTGGTCAGAGTGAGGTCTAGGAAGTCCAGCTGCAAGGGTTGAAAACCCTCAGTTTGTTAAAGGACTCTCTCCTTCACTGAGGGATGGGATGAGGCTGAAAGGGCAGGGCTGGGGCAGCCACACTAGCTTCCTGAGTCATGGAGTAGGAGGTGCAGCAGTAAGTACAAGTTACTTCTTTATTTTCACCCATCCTCCTTCCAACTTCTCTCTCTCTCAGCCAAGGGTTAAAAAGTATCTCAGCTGGAGGGAACCTCTGAGATCATCTACTCAAGCCTCCTCATTATTTTTGTTGTTGTTGTTGGCAAAATGGACATTGGGTTGCTGGTAAAAGAAAAGAGTTTACCTCCTGGTTGCACCATTTCCCACGTGTATAACTGTTGGCAGGTTGCTTGACCTCTCTCAGCCAGGTTTCTCACCTGTACAATGGGGACAGTGATCATCTCTATTCTGCATTCTGGGGTCATAGAAGAGCTGGAGCTTTGGAGTTTAGTAGACCCTAGTTTGAATTTCAGTTCTGCCATTTATTAGTTTTATGACCTTGGGAAGTTAATACCACCTCTCAAAAGCCTCAGTTTCCTCATCTGTAAAATGGGTGCACTAACAATATCTTGCTGAGTTGTAGTGAGGATTGAATGAGATATAATGTGTATACAGTGAGCGTGGTTGGGGGATCCTGTGATGTCGTGATGCCAGCACACTTTGTGACTCCGTGCATATTGGATTATTGTCATTAAGTGGCTTGGTGAAGATTACAATGGAAGGGCAGAGTGCCAGTTAGGGTGTCCAGAGGCATCCAAATGTTCCCAGACCCCCAGTAAGCAGGAGTGAATCAGTGGCTTCTCTGAGGGCTTAGATGGGAGATGGGGAAAAGGAAGAGGGGAAGGTTGAAGGGGGTGGGGGCTGAGGCAGCATCTTCATATCCTGGGCCCGGAGCTCTCAGCCACATAGAAACACAGGCAAACACCCAGCTGGGCCGCTGTAGAGTTGGGCAAAGTTTGCCTCATTTCCTCTTCCCCTCCCCTCCCTTCCCTCCTTCAGCTCCCCCACCCACTTCTTACACATCCAGTCCTCCGAGGAGCAGCTGGTTCCCTCCCCTGACTGTTGCTCTCTCCTCCTGGATCTATACGTTTGGCACCTAGAGCAGTTTCCTGAATCTGAGGCAGGGCTGGTGGAGAAGCCAGCAAGAGTGCTCCCCTGCCTCCTCTATCCCTGTACAGCTCAGGCACCCAAAGGCCCTTCCCCCAAGGCTCCAGACAAGAAAGCAAAGGGTGTCCTGGGACCACGTGTGCCCACTCACTCAATGTGGGAATAACTAAAGCTTTTGGCAGCCAAGTATAATCACAATAGGGCAAAGAGTTATGGTTCCCTGCTGGCCTGCCAGGCCTATCAGAGACTTCAATAAGCAGTCTTGTTCCTGTCCCCTGCCCTGTCTTGACTCACCCCAGCTCAGCTCAGCCCAGCCTAGCAGGTGCTAGGAGAACATGGATAACTGGCTGATTATGGTCCTTGGTACCTTCAAAGCCCTTCACCTATCCGTAGCTGTATATGGGGACAGTGCCTTTTGCAAACCCAGCTGTATGGAGCTTGAGAATCAGCAGTAGCTCTAGAATTCCTTATAAAAGGGACTTGAGGTGGTTGTCTGGATAGAAGGGGAGAGGGGGGCCTGGGAATTTGCGTAGAGCTCAGTTATAGATCAACAATATCAACAGCTTTTGCTGAATATGCTTTAATCTCCACTTTACATAAAATTAAGAAAAGCTAATTGCCCAGCTCAGAGAATAGGAATATCCAAGGAAAATGTTTTGAGTGGTGGTAGAGATGATCAAGGGTCCAAAGCCCTCTCCAACCATCCCCCCACCCCCCGGACTTTGCTCTGTAAAGAGAACCACCTAGAAGCTCTGTGTTGGAGCTCAGATACTACTCACTCACGTATTCATTCAATGAACAGTTACTCATGATAATAGCGAACGCTGATTTAGTTCTTTCCATGCATATGCCAGGGCCTGTGCTGAATGCATGATTTGGATTATTTCACAAAATTTATAAAACAAGGTAGATACTGGCAATATTATTGCTCATATTTTACTGATGAGGACACTTGAGCTCCTGGAGATCGGAAGTGGATCTCAAATCTGAATTTGTTGGGCTCTCTTCCATCCCAGAACTCATGGGGAGCTGGTACAGTGGACGTGCAAGGGGTGCAGGCCTTGGCATCAGATGAATCAGCTTAAATTCTCCTTCTGCCTCTTATGACCAGCGGTTTACTTAGGCAAGTTAGCTCATCACTCTGTGCCCTCTTCCTTCCTTTACGCAATGAGACAACACTGGTATCTATGGTGAGTGTGGTGACCAGAGTCATATTCAGCTCAGGAAGATTTCCCATTTCTTTTGTTTTGATTCTTTTGCGAGGAGAGACCTCCTGGTGAGCTACCAATTACTGTGCTCCGTCTCCCTGGGAGATCTAGGCACTTGACACAGGAGATTAAAAAACTGGGAGAAAACTATCTTTGTAATGTCTAGACGATAGCAAATGAATAACATAGTGACTGTGTAAGGAACTCATAGCAAATCAACAAGAAAAAAGATGGGAAGTTCTATAGAAAGATGGACGCTGGTTATGAATAGGCAGTTTACAAAAGGGAAGTGCAAATGGCCAGAAAGTATTTGCTCAACCTTTTTATAGCCACAGAAAAAATTAAGACAATGTAAGGTCACTTTACATCCATTAAAGTGGCAAAAAGAAAAAAAAAGGGTAAGATGAAGCTATGTGTTGGCAAAGATGAGGGGAGACTGGAACCCTCAGATACTCCTGCTGGGATTTCAAAGTAGTTTTCTGGAGAGCAGTCTACAGGACCTGATGAAATTATGTATACGTTTACCTTGAGATTGATTCGCTGATCCTAGCCCTAGGTAAACAGAAAAACTCTCACATATATCCATTAAGGGATTTGTATGATGATGTTTTCTGAAAAGTTTTACTTTTAAGTCTTTCATCTGGAATTAATATTTTTTGTAGTTTTTCTTTTTCTTTTTTTAAGTCTTTTTTCTTGGTTTTCTTTAGTGGAGGTACGGGGAATTGAACACAAGACCTCATGCATGCTAAGCAGGCACTCTACCACTGAGCTATATCACTCCGCCACAGGAATTAATTTTTATTAATTCTGGTGTGAGGTCGAGGTCCAATTTATTTTTTTCCCTATATGGATATCCAGTGATGCCTGCATCGTTGATTGGATACTCCTTCCTTTCCCCCAAGATCCACAGTGCCAGCTATGTTAAATTTCAGTTCTGTAGGTGAGTGGGGATGGTTTTGGACTCTCTATTGTGTTCCACTGGTGAATTTTTTCACTCCTACACCCATACCATACCTGCCTTTATTATAACTGTATAATAAGTAATGATTTCTGGAGGCCAAAAATCCTCATCTTCGCCTCACCGCAACCTTTGGGCTTTTGCTCTTCTGTATGTATTTTACAGACAATTTTTCAATATCCACTGAAAACTCTCTTATCTAGCCTCTGAAGGAATTTGTAAAAGGTTGGAATAATCTATTATTTGATGTTTTGGAAGAATTTTCCTGTAGAACCATCTTTTTTTTTTAAGAAAAAAGTTAAACTATCAATTCAAGTTCTTTAAATATTGTAGAGCTATTTGGATTTCCTATTGCTTCTTGCTTCAGTTTTAGTGAACC